AACTGAAGTCACAGCTTAAAACTCCAGTGTTCCTGTGCCAACGTTTCCGATAAGGACGGGTAAGGCAGAAGGCTAGACATAAAGGAGACGTGTCTACAAAGGGTCCTGGACACAGATGCTGTGGCAGGTTTAATAGAATTCAGTTTTACTCTTCATGGTGCCCATCAGAAAAAGGCATTTGTTTGGGAAGTGATTCTCCAGGCTCAGTCAACTCCAACAGACCTCCCAGAGACTGAACTGTACTTTTTTCCATGCCCAGTGCAACTAACCAGTGAAGAAAAGGTTAACAGGCTATGTGAGGTAGAAAAAAAAAGAAAGCAAGCCTTGCACAGTAACAGTAGCCATGTGTTAGCCACTTTAATACAAAATGTAATCAACATTCAATTACAAGAGTTTAGAAAGGTGTAGAAGACCCAGTGAGTTTCCATTTCATTACAGTTCCAAAACCTGCGGCCACTTTTTTGATTAGCATATGCTAATCAACCCAGGGTTAATTTTACAGCCAACCTAGAAATAACCACATGGGAAGATGAATGAAACAAACAAGATCTGCAAATCCAAGTCACAAATTCAGGGATTCTCATCACAAGGGGGCCACACCCATAGGTCTGAAGAAAATGCTGCCTCCTGCAAGGGCAGAGAAGAAAACCAATACTGTTCTGCTTCAAGAAATTTGCATAGAAATAGAAAACACTGGAAACCTTTGCTACAAGTGAGATTGCAAAGCTTCAACATGTTAAACTCAACCTGAGAGCCATGTGTTTACTTGGAGGTGCAACAGGGCTGGGCCATTTGATTGCCAGCTGACAGAGCACAGGCCTCAAGCGTGGCCAGGAGCTGTGAGCAAACTTATTAGAAAGCAAAGCGGATGCTGCTACAGATTTTGACTTCAGAGGAGCACCCTAAGGTGTCGGGAACTTTTTCAAATTAACCCTTAACAAAGGCATCTTCCTGTCTTTCCAACTCTTCGCCTTTCAATTCTCCAGGAACACAGTGTCAAGAAAACCCCACAAGGCCTTTCTCTGCCTCAGTACCCTGCAGGTGCACACTGCTTGGACTTTTTTTTTTGCATTGATGGAGTCTGAATCTAGGCTCTTAAGCATGTTTAGGCCCCAGACTAAGACTTTTATCACTAAGTCCAGCTGTGACCTTAAGTGACAGCTAAGAAGCAGGAATTACCTGGCAACTTCCATCTCTGCTTCACTCCCCTCGCTGTAAGCCTCCTGAGCCCTGAGGGGGGAAGGGCTCCCCCTACTGGGAACACCTGGAAGCTGTCTTCAGCATCCTCTGCTGGAGGCTAGAGAAATTCAGGCCTGTTCCGAGGACTTGGACAAGCTGTGGTTTATGTATATAAATAAGGACTTTAGTCTCACTACTAGCCCTTGCTGACCTCGGACTCAGATATCCTATGGAGAGCCGCCTAAAGGCTCGGATGCCC